TTTCAGTTTCAAGGACACTTTCAATACATTCAGTAGTTTCAAGGATTTCAACTGTTTAAGAATTTAACCAGTTTCAAGGATATCAGGAGGTTCAAGGATTTCAGGAGTTTCCACACTTTCAACAGTTTCCAGGTTTAAAAAAGTTTCAAGGATTTCAGGAGTTTCAATGTTTCAACAGTTTCAAGGATTTCAGGAGTTTAAAGGTTTCAACAATTTCAAGGACTTCAGGAGTTTCAAATATCTATCAAGTATTTTAACAGTTTCAAGGCCTTTTAAAGGATTTCAAGGATTTTTTTTAGCAGATTTCCACATTAGATCTGTTCCGCAGTCAATCGCAATGGCTTCAGCCATTGCAAGTTTCTAGTTGATTCTTTGTAATTGGTCGTCTTGTGTGTTTGACATCTTGGAAATGAGAGCTCCTCTTGTTTGACGCTCCCCAGAGGGCTCCGTAGCGACTTCTTGAATTCTAATTTGACACTTGCCAGTACATCTGCAGGAGTTGACATCACGTTCTGTCTCCATGGATAAAAATGTTATCTCCACATCACTCTTGGTTTTGAGTCTTGAATTATAAGGTATTTGTTCCCAGACCGTGTGTTTGTATTGAGCCTATCATTATGCATCGCAACACTTTACGCCTCACAGCCTAAGATAACTGTTTATGGGGATTAACTTCTAGTCAGAAGAGAATTCTTAAAAATTAACTTGGGATCCAATTTAAATTAAACCCTGAGTCGGATTGTCTTTTATCCTTACTGAGACCGCAGATTTAATTTAGTTTGAGCTTTTAGTGCTTAACAAATCGCCTTAAGACAACCATTTACAACCTGGGGTAGAGGGGTCCTTGAGGATATTATCAAAGAAGCCTAAAGTAGACTGAGAATTTTAATGATGCCATTACTAGTGATAATAATTATTAGTATTCTAGAAAATGTTTACTATACACTACAGATAAAGTACCATTAGGACATCAGGGTCGCCAAAAGATCCATGGGTGAAATATAGAAACATTGTATCTTTATTTTGATGAGGTGCCAAACTTGAAGTGTGTATAAACTTTCAAAAATAAATATGCAGCTTGATCACCTGCACTTTTGTACCTGTAAATATTGAGCCTGAGCAATGTTTTTGATGGATCGCCCGATTATGAATATCGTCATCAAAATGTGTGTGCTTTCCTAGAATACATCAGACAAAAAGACATGAATATGGATCTTATTGGTGCCCATCAGAACCGCCACAAGTTTGATCATGGCTCACTTAAAGATGCGACTTAAATCAGTGCATTCGTCCATCCACTTTCTGTTAAACCACACTAGGGACAGGCTAAACCTTTCGGGATAAAGTTACTCAGCTTTTGTGTCATTTTTTTCAAGCAGGATTTCCTTCCTTCCTGGCCCTCCCTCTCTTTACATTGTGCTGCCCATTTCCTGCTGCAGCTCGCACACTTCCCCCTAAAATTCTCAATCCGGGGCCCGAGTCCAGCCACTGCCTATAGAGAGCGGCCACAGGGAGAGAAGCCTGGAGCAGAGGTGGTGCTGATCCACTGACCACAGGGAGAAGGCAGTCTTTGATATGCCAGCTGTCCAGTCACAGGGCGCTTACGTGAGGAAATTCAGAAGCTCCATGAGTCCGTACAGACACCAGTAAAGAGGTCATCATCACAAGGGGCCTAGTGTTTTGGATGGCCCTCCTCACTGCAGGGGACAAGAGCTAGCCCTTAGTCCGTCTCTGAAGCCTCCTGTGTGTCTTCCTCACTTTCCGATTAGCTTCATGCTGCATTTCTGAGCTCACAGCCGTAATAAAAAGAGTTTAAGTCACCGTGGCAAGACATGATGGGAATTTTACTTCACTCAGAAAGATTTAATTATGTTCTTGACTGGGATATGCTGCTGTAGCCTCAAGCACAAGACAAGTGCCAGTTGTTTTTTGAGGACACTACAGTATATTCGCAATTTAGTCTCTTCTCTTTAGCTAATTTGTCTATTGTGTTTTCTTTATATTTTCTAGGATCTCAGTAATTGACAAGAGGACTCAGAATTGTGCATGAAATAAGCTATTGCAAATCTATTCATGCAGCTGGTTTGAAAAATGCCTATTAAATCCATTTGAAGTGGATAGCACATGTATTCACACTGGACAGGAGTAAATACAACCATTTCCATTTCCAAAACAGGACAAGACTGAGGTGGACCAGTGTTCACAAATAAGTTATGTACAATTATGTTAAGACAGAGTTGGTCGTTATAACAGAAAACCTAAAAATCTTTCGGCAACCTGACAAAGGCTTAGGGGAGCTTCCGTATTTTGCCTTGGTATAAAACCATGTGAACGCTACGCAAATCTGGCCGTGTCGCTAAATGTACCATCAATAAAACAAGAAAAAAAAGTCTTCAGTAGATGTTAAGACACTAACCCTGATCCTCCACCATCTGAAGAAAATTAGCAACGATTCGGAGGTCTGGGATCCTGTTTTTGTTTTTATTGTTGGTTTACATCATGAACAACAGAGTTTTGCAGCGTTTACATGATTTATGCCGACGCACAACACAGCAGACAAAAACAACAAGTGGAAAATTACTGACTTCTGCAGACTTTTGTAATGACTAGCTCAGTTTAAACATAATTGCACAAAAAAGTCTTATAAAGGTTCCATACTAGTCCCAAGATTCCACTTCAGTTGTTGGACCAAGTTTGAACTCACCCTAAAAGTACGTTACCCATTTTAAACCAACCAAATCAAACCAGAATCCAATATTCCATGTGCTTGATTGGATCAGCAGCTACATCAAGCACAAAGAAGCGCAAATTAGTCCTTGTTCATGAACTCATGTTTGGGATTTTGGCACTTTGCCCTGTCCTTTCACCATTCATGCACAAAAAGCCTGTGATGAGCAGAACCCTTGCAGGCGGGGCTGTTTTGCGGGGGGCACACTCTCAACAAATCTGGGGAAGAAGTTGGACAACAGTTTGGCTGACTGGTTACTTCCACTCTCCATTTACTACATCCGGAGCTGTCATGTCGGACACCTGCTGACGCTGCAGCTTTTTCAGCGTGTGTCCTCCCTGCTGGGATCGGTGCATGCATGAGGAGAGGGAGAAGAGCCCATGCAACAGTCTTGGTTGGCGGCCTCGAATAGCAGCAGAATGATTTGTGCCTAGTCATTTTGTAGATTGATGCTTGCGTGCCACATTCCCCCGGCGGCTCTCGGGAATAGGCTGAGCAGTGGTGGACGAGGATGCACTCGAATGCACATGGATATTGAGGATGCATTGTTGGAGAGTGCTGCGGTCCCCACTGGCTGCGCCTCATCTGCTGCAGAGGCTCTCACTTCGTAATATCCAATTTCACAAGTCAAAAGAGTTTCATAATACGACCAAGATGCCGTCGTTTATGATGCTGTGATGGGTGAAATTGAACAGGACGCAGAATCATAAATCCAAAGCAACAATGGTGTGTTATTTGTGAAGTAGACATGTTATTTCATTGATGTGAGAGGTTTATGTGACTGTCATGGATGTCGGATTCACATTCATTTTATTTGCCATTTGCAGTAAAACCATGTTGGAATACATTTGCAAAAGTCCCCAGTGTGCACAAGACAAGTTAATTAATTCTGTGTTTTATTGATGAAAATTGAGATGAATTGTTTGCACCACTATTACAACTCTCTATTGAATCTGGATGGAGAATTTTTGTAAACATGTTTTTAGTTCTTTTGAGCAAATGTCATCCACTGGCTCAAATACTGTATACAATGGTTAATGGAAATCCCTCGTCTTGGTGCCAAGGTCATTCTGACTTCTTTATTCATAGTTGCTACAGTTGTACATAGCACTTTGGGAGAAAGATGTTTGGAGTGATGAGGTGTGATTTAACCCTCAGACGGGAAGTGTAAGAAGTGGTGTTTTTAAGGAACTTCCTCAGCACAGAGCCGTGTCCTCTGCAGTGGGATGTCATGTCAAGGAGTCTCGACAAGGCTCAACTGATTATTCTCTTTCTCTGACCACTAAGACTTTCTTTGTACTCACTGAAATCTGAGCATTTTGGAATAGACAGACCACAGCATTTAGACCTCTGCAGTTTAGTGTCCAAACAGCGTGAATCTGCAGTCTTTTTATATTTAAAGGGGCTGTATGTAATGAAAACAAAGCAATCACTTAAAATGCAGGAATGTAAAATAAAAGGATTTACTAATAAAGTGAGAGGTGAAGAACAAACTCAAATCTAAAACTGAAATACAGGAGCCTCCACGAGCAGCCGGTGACGTCAGTGACACACGTGCAGCAGCGACAACAATACAACACAAACATGTGCAGAAATGTCCCTGGATTCTCTGCAACCTTCGCTGTTGTGATATAAGAAATACAGGAGCAATTGTGTTGTTCATTAGGAAGTAAACATCAAAAAAAGTGAAACCAGGTACAGAGTCCACACCACCACAGTGTGTTCCCAGATAATAGTTCAACATATGTTTGTAATATTTATGTTTACGATTTACAAAGAAGATCATCCAATCAGAGAATCAGTCTCTCACTTGGGTTGCCTGTTTATGTGAAATTTATCTCTTTTTGTTTTTACAACATTCACAAATAAAAATAGCTCCACAGCTTTGTGGAAATAGGTAAAAAATAATTAAGCATATATGTGTCACATACACGAAGATCCTGTTAACAAAAGTTTGATTATACAGTAATCGTAAAGACTTTATTAGACCACTAGAGTGCAGATTACATAGTGTCGCTTTAACAATAACTGGTTCAAATAAGAACTCAGTTTCAGGTGAGTTATTAAGGTAATGTCCTCTCTTTATTTCACTTAGAAAAGGCCTCCAGAATGTTTTGTATTTGGCTGTTTTTTGATTGCTCGTCACAGTCACAAAGCAAACTAGAAATGGTACAATGGCTGAAGCCATTGTGAGTGGCTGCATAGATGTTGGAAGGGTTAGGGATGAAGAAGGAAGAGGAAGGGGAAGAAGGAAGAAGAAAGAAAAGGGTAGAAGAGGGAGGAGGAGGAAGAAGAAGAAGGGGAAGAAGAGGAAGATGAGGAAAATGAGGAAGAAGGGGAAGAAGAGGAAGAAGGGGAAGAAGAGGAAGAAAGGAGGAAGGGGAAGAAGAGGAAGAAGAGGAGGAAGGGGAAGAAGGGGAAGAAGAGGAAGAAGAGGAGGAAGGGGAAGAAGGGGAAGAAGAGGAAGAAGAGGTGGAAGGGGAAGAAGGGGAGGAAGAAGAGGAAGAAGAGGAAGAAGGGGAAGAAGAGGAAGAAGGGGAGGAAGAAGAGGAAGAAGAGGAAGAAGGGGAAGAAGAGGAAGAAGAGGAGGAAGGGGAAGAAGAGGAGGGAGGGGAAGAAGTGAAGAAGATGAAGTAAGAAGAATGTGTTGTAAGGTGTTGAATTTGTTGTAAAGTGCTAAATGTGTTGTAAGGTGTTGAATTTGTTGTAAAGTGCTAAATGTATTGTAAAGTGTTGAATGTGTTGTAAAGTGCTGAATGTGTTGTAAGGTGTTGAATTTGTTGTAAAGTGCTAAATGTGTTGTAAGGTGCTGTAAGTGTTGTAAGATGTTGTAATGTATTGTATCTGTGGTAATGAATTGTTAGTGTGGTAATGTGTTGTATGGGGAGTAATCTGTTGTACTGGTCCAATGTAAGTCAATGGGAAAAAGTGCTTGAACTTTTGTTAATATCTGAAAAAGTGCTAAAGGTGGAAGTGTGAAAAGTGATAGCAATAATGAGACGGTGAAGCCGGTCGTAACGATGTATAATTTGTTGAATTTGGTGAAAGCGTTGAAGAGTTGAAAAGTGCCAAAATCTGGCGGAAGTGGAAGAAGAAGAACTAGAAATGGTACAATGGCTGAAGCCATTGTGAGTGGCTGCATAGATGTTGGAAGGGTTAGGGATGAAGAAGGAAGAGGAAGGGGAAGAAGAAGGAAGAAGAAAGAAAAGGGAAGAAGAGGAAAGAAGAAGAAGGAAGAGGAGGAGGAAGAAGAAGAAGGGGAAGAAGGGGAAGAAGAAGAAGGGGAAGAAGGGGAAGAAGAGGAAGAAGGGGAAGATGAGGAATAAGAGGAAGAAGGGGAAGAAGAGGAAGAAGAGGAAGAAGGGGAAGAAGAGGAAGAAGGGGAAGAAGAGGAAGAAGTGAAGAAGATGAAGTAAGAAGAATGTGTTGTAAGGGGCTGAAAGTGTTGTAAAGTGCTGAATGTGTTGTAAGGTGTTGTAAAGTGCTAAATGTGTTGTAAAGTGCTGAATGTGTTGTAAAGTGCTGAATTTGTTGTAAAGTGCTGAATGTGTTGTAAAGTGCTAAATGTGTTGTAAAGTGCTGAATGTGTATTCAAGTGCTAAATGTGTTGTAAAGTGCTAAATGTGTAGTAAGGTGTTGAATTTGTTGTAAAGTGCTAAATGTGTTGTAAGGTATTGAATGTTTTGTAAAGTGCTAAATGTGTTGTAAGGTGTTGAATGTGTTGTAAAGTGCTAAATGTGTTGTAAGGTGTTGAATTTGTTGTAAAGTGCTAAATGTGTTGTAAGGTTTAGAATTTGTTGTAAAGTGCTAAATTTGTTGTAAGGTGTTGAATTTGTGTTAAAGTGCTAAATGTGTTGTAAGGTGTTGAATTTGTGTTAAAGTGCTAAATGTGTTGTAAGGTGTTGAATTTGTTGTAAAGTGCTAAATGTGTTGTAAGGTGTTGAATGTGTTGTAAAGTGCTAAATGTGTTGTAAGGTGTTGAATTTGTTGTAAAGTGCTAAATGTGTTTTAAGTTGTTGAATGTGTTGTAAAGTGCTAAATGTGTTGTAAGGTGTTGAATTTGTTGTAAGGTGCTAAATGTGTTGTAAGGTGTTGAATTTGTTGTAAAGTGCTAAATGTGTTGTAAGGTGTTGAATTTGTTGTAAAGTGCTAAATGTGTTGTAAGGTGTTGAATTTGTTGTAAGGTGCTAAATATGTTGTAAGGTGTTGAATTTGTTGTAAGGTGCTAAATGTGTTGTAAGGTGCTATAAGTGTTGTAAGGTGTAGAATTTGTTGTAAAGTGCTAAATGTGTTGTAAGGTGTTGAATGTGTTATAAAGTGCTAAATGTGTTGTAAGGTGTTGAATTTGTTGTAAGGTGCTGAATGTGTTGTAAGGTGTTGAATTTGTTGTAAAGTGCTAAATGTGTTGTAAGGTGTTGAATTTGTTGTAAAGTGCTAAATGTGTTGAATTTGTGTTAAAGTGCTAAATGTGTTGTAAGGTGTTGAATGTGTTGTAAAGTGCTAAATGTGTTGTAGGGTGTTGAATTTGTTGTAAGGTGCTGAATGTGTTGTAAGGTGTTGAATTTGTTGTAAGGTGCTGAATATGTTGTAAGGTGTTGAATTTGTTGTAAAGTGCTAAATGTGTTGTAAGGTGTTGAATTTGTTGTAAGGTGCTGAATGTGTTGTAAGGTGTTGAATTTGTTGTAAGGTGCTAAATGTGTTGTAAGGTGTTGAATGTGTTGTAAAGTGCTAAATGTGTTGTAAGGTGTTGAATTTGTTGTAAAGTGCTAAATGTGTTGTAAGGTGCTGTAAGTGTTGTAAGATGTTGTAAGTGTTGTAAGATGTTGTAATGTATTGTATCTGTGGTAATGAATTGTTAGTGTGGTAATGTGTTGTAAGGGGAGTAATTGAGTGGCTGCATAGACTATGCAGCCACTATATGCTCTCCTACTGTTTATTCTTCTTCTTCTTCTTCTTCTTCTTCTTCTTCTTCTTCTTCTTCTTCTTCTTCTTCTTCTTCTTCTTCCACTTCCGCCAGATTTTGGCACTTTTCAACTCTTCAACGCTTTCACCAAATTCAACAAATTATACATCGTTACGACCGGCTTCACCGTCTCATTATTGCTATTACTTTTCACACTTCCACCTTTAGCACTTTTTCAGATATTAACAAAAGTTCAAGCACTTTTTCCCATAGACTTACATTGGACCAGTACAACAGATTACTCCCCATACAACACATTACCACACTAACAATTCATCACCACAGATACAATACATTACAGCATCTTACAACACTTACAGCACCTTACAACACATTTAGCACTTTACAACAAATTCAACACCTTACAACACATTTAGCACCTTACAACAAATTCAACACCTTACAACACATTTAGCACTTTACAACACATTCAACACCTTACAACACATTTAGCACTTTAACAAAAATTCAACACATTTAGCACTTTACAACAAATTCAACACCTTACTACACATTCAGCACCTTACAACAAATTCAACACCTTACAACACATTTAGCACTTTACAAAACATTCTATACCTTATAACAAATTCAATACTTACAACACATTTAGCACTTTACAACAAATTCAACACCTTACAACACATTTAGCACTTTACAAAACATTCTATACCTTACAACAAATTCAATACTTACGACACATTTAGCACTTTACAACAAATTCAACGCCTTACAACACATTTAGCACTTTACAAAACATTCTATACCTTACAACAAATTCAATACTTACAACACATTTAGCACTTTAAAACACTTTCAGCCCCTTACAACACATTCTTCTTACTTCATCTTCTTCACTTCTTCCTCTTCTTCCTCTTCTTCCCCTTCTTCCTCTTCTTCCTCTTCTTCCCCTTCTTCCTCTTCTTCCCCTTCTTCCTCTTCTTCCCCTTCTTCCTCTTCTTCGTCTTCTTCCCCTTCTTCCCCTTCGTCCTCTTCTTCCTCTTCTTCCCCTTCTTCCCCTTCTTCTTTCTCCTCCTCTTCCTTCTTCTTCTTTCCTCTTCTTTCTTCTTCCTTCTTCTTCCCCTTCCTCTTCCTTCTTCATCCCTAACCCTTCCAACATCTATGCAGCCACTCACAATGGCTTCAGCCATTGTACCATTTCTAGTCTGTTGTACTGGTCCAATGTAAGTCAATGGGAAAAAGTGCTTGAACTTTTGTTAATATCTGAAAAAGTGCTAAAGGTGGAAGTGTGAAAAGTAATAGCAATAATGAGACGGTGAAGCCGGTCGTAACGATGTATAATTTGTTGAATTTGGTGAAAGCGTTGAAGAGTTGAAAAGTGCCAAAATCTGGCGGAAGTGGAAGAAGAAGAAGAAGAAGAAGAAGAAGAAGAAGAAGAAGAAGAAGAACTAGAAATGGTACAATGGCTGAAGCCATTGTGAGTGGCTGCATAGATGTTGGAAGGGTTAGGGATGAAGAAGGAAGAGGAAGGGGAAGAAGAAGGAAGAAGAAAGAAAAGGGAAGAAGAGGAAAGAAGAAGAAGGAAGAGGAGGAGGAAGAAGAAGAAGGGGAAGAAGAAGAAGAGGAAGAAGAGGAAGAAGGGGAAGAAGAGGATGAAGAGGAAGAAGGGGAAGAAGAGGAAGAAGAGGAAGAAGGGGAGGAAGAGGAAGAAGAGAAAGAAGAGAAAGAAGGGGAAGAAGAGGAAGAAGGGGAAGAAGAGGAAGAAGTGAAGAAGATGAAGTAAGAAGAATGTGTTGTAAGGAGCTGAAAGTGTTGGAAAGTGCTGAATGTGTTGTAAGGTGTTGTAAAGTGCTAAATGTGTTGTAAAGTGCTGAATGTGTTGTAAAGTGCTGAATGTGTTGTAAAGTGCTGAATGTGTTGTAAAGTGCTAAATGTGTTGTAAAGTGCTAAATGTGTTTTAAAGTGCTAAATGTGTTGTAAAGTGCTGAATGTGTTGTAAAGTGCTAAATGTGTTGTAAAGTGCTAAATGTGTTGTAAGGTGTTGAATTTGTTGTAAAGTGCTAAATGTGTTGTAAGGTGTTGAATTTGTTGTAAAGTGCTAAATGTGTTGTAAGGTGTTGAATTTGTGTTAAAGTGCTAAATGTGTTGTAAGGTGTTTAATTTGTTGTAAGGTGCTAAATGTGTTGTAAGGTGTTGAATTTGTTGTAAAGTGCTAAATGTGTTGTAAGGTGCTAAATGTGTTGTAAGGTGTTGAATTTGTTGTAAAGTGCTAAATGTGTTGTAAGATGTTGAATGTGTTGTAAGGTGCTAAATGTGTTGTAAGGTGTTGAATTTGTTGTAAGGTGTTGAATGTGTTGTAAAGTGCTAAATGTGTTGTAAGGTGTTGAATGTGTCGTAAAGTGCTAAATGTGTTGTAAGATGTTGAATGTGTTGTAAGGTGCTAAATGTGTTGTAAGGTGTTGAATGTGTTGTAAAGTGCTAAATGTGTTGTAAGGTATTGAATTTGAGTTAAAGTGCTAAATATGTTGTAAGGTGTTGAATTTGTTGTAAAGTGCTAAATGTGTTGTAAGGTATTGAATTTGAGTTAAAGTGCTAAATGTGTTGTAAGGTGTTGAATTTGTGTTAAAGTGCTGAATGTGTTGTAAGGTGTTGAATTTGTTGTAAAGTACTAAATGTGTTGTAAGGTGTTGAATTTGTTGTAAAGTTCTAAATGTGTTGTAAGGTGTTGAATGTGTTGTAAAGTGCTAAATGTGTTGTAAGGTGTTGAATTTGTTGTAAAGTTCTAAATGTGTTGTAAGGTGTTGAATTTGTTGTAAAGTGCTAAATGTGTTGTAAGGTGTTGAATTGCTGTAAAGTGTTAAATGTGTTGTAAGGTGTTGAATGTGTTGTAAAGTGCTAAATGTGTTGTAAGGTGTTGAATTTGTTGTAAGGTGCTGAATGTGTTGTAAGGTGTTGAATTTGTTGTAAAGTGCTAAATGTGTTGTAAGGTGTTGAATTTGTTGTAAGGTGCTGAATGTGTTGTAAGGTGTTGAATTTGTTGTAAGGTGCTGAATGTGTTGTAAGGTGTTGAATTTGTTGTAAAGTGCTAAATGTGTTGTAAGGTGTTGAATTTGTTGTAAAGTGCTAAATGTGTTGTAAGGTGCTATAAGTGTTGTAAGATGTTGCAATGTATTTTATCTGTGGTAATGAATTGTTAGTGTGGTAATGTGTTGTATGGGGAGTAATCTGTTGTACTGGTCCAATGTAAGTCAATGGGAAAAAGTGCTTGAACTTTTGTTAATAGCTGAAAAAGTGCTAAAGGTGGAAGTGTGAAAAGTAATAGCAATAATGAGACGGTGAAGCCGGTCGTAACGATGTATAATTTGTTGAATTTGGTGAAAGCGTTGAAGAGTTGAAAAGTGCCAAAATCTGGCGGAAGTGGAAGAAGAAGAAGAAGAAGAAGAAGAAGAAGAAGAAGAAGAATAAACAGTAGGAGAGCATATAGTGGCTGCATAGTCTATGCAGCCACTCAATAAACAGTAGGAGAGCATATAGTGGCTGCATAGTCTATGCAGCCACTCAATAAACAGTAGGAGAGCATATAGTGGCTGCATAGTCTATGCAGCCACTCAATCAGTGAATCACTAAGAAACAGCTCGGCCAATGGCCTTCAGAAAGACCCAGATGTTTCTTACAGAGCTCAAGCTAATGAAGTTCTGTCTTGCGGTGAGCATATTCTGAGGATTGATTGTTTTACAAAAGCACTAACATTGCATACATATAATTTTATAAGTGACAGAGCCATTCCAGACTTCATTCTTTGCCGTGTGTGATTGCTTAGAAAACCAATCGATGCAGAGAGAAGTAGAGTGGCTGTTTTTGCTTGTAATACATCAGCTGTTGCCTCCATGTTAGTTTTAGCCTGAATGGATGAACAGATGTTTGAGGCTTGCTTTGATTCACTCAGTTACTCTTAAAGTATGGGGGAAGTTAGACCTTCTATTTTGTTCACTCATCTTTTTGGAATCAGCTTTAATTTTAGGGCTGCACAAAGATCTAATTGTGATCAGAGATATGATATGAAAGTGAAAATCCACTGTAATACTAGACCTAAAATCTGGAATGACGATTTTAGAGTTAAAATGAAATCTACTCTATTTCATTTGAGTAGATTAGTAAAGTAAAATATTCTCCACATGGATTTTACATTACTCACCTGACTTTTTGCAGTGTAAACATGTCCAGGAGTGATGGAAGACTGAAACGAACTCTTGAACCATGGATTAGTTAAACATTCTGACACCTGAACTCGGGCTAACGGACAATTTTAAGAATCAGACAGGATTTTTTTTTTTCATTGCAAAGAATTACAGCCTTTGCAATTCTCTATTTAATTTAAATTTAAATTTAGTTTTTATTCTGATTCATCTTGCACCCTTGGCATGTTTAAGTCTATGGAAGGTTCAAAAACCAATCAATCATTTATTTATTAGTTGACAGATATTTCAATAAAGGCTCAGTTGTGATTAATTGATGAACTTATCACAGCCCTACACTATATCTATCTCTTTGACACTTGTTTTGGCTCTGCATTCGTTTATTCTGATGAGCAATAAGTTCAGCTGATTCGTCAGCCGTGATAACTTTGTCCGAGCATAAACGCTGTGACGGGCTCTGGCTTCCGTTGATTGTACCATGTAGCAAACATTGCATAATACGTTGTTAGTTAGAGGGAGCCCTGATTATGTTGGAGGATTGTTACTCTGTGGATGTGATGCGGGGAAACAGCCTTCTGCTCCAACTCTGTGTGAGAAAATACTGTATGAGGAGTATTATCACCCATACTAAATCTGTAGTATCAATCAATCCATCAACTTTTTTACAATCAGCGCGTTAAAGCACTTTTTTGTACTTTTTGGTTTCATAAATACATTTAGTTTGCCCCAACAGAAAGCATGCAGCCTTTTTCTTTTAATAAAACATTTGATCTATGCCTGAGTTGAGGCTGGTCCTCTCTTTTACCTGAAAATGCTGATCTAAAGATGTAGCAGAGGCCAACAATGCATGAATGGAAAACTAGTGATTGAACCAAACTGTTTTAAACCCAGGAACTATTTTGATGGATTTGAAGTGAGGTACTCCAGCTTTAAAATAGTCTAGCTAATCGCAAATAACGTACTGACAATTGACATCTGCAATTTGAGAATATGATTTACCACAATTACAAATTTTGATTAGATAAAATTAAATAAATACAAATTTTATGGACACAAAAAAGTAGAACATGAACATTTTTCTTGTATTTTAAGTGCTTTCATAAAAACCTTGGTGTTGATGACATAGATTGGTTTTTACCATTATAATTAGCGGAAGAACAGGATAATTGGATGGCGTTAATAATGGTACATTGTGTAGTTGTGTGTGAATATTTCAGCTTGTGCTCCTGTGATCCGAAAGGTCACATATCATCACAGGCTGAATGTTAAGCACCAGACAGAGGCCGTGATCACATGTTTCTATCCATCACCTCATCTGCCCCAGCAGTAATGATGAGCACTAATGACTTTTTAATGTGGTCCCCTTCACTACAGCAGACAGGCACAGGCCGGGGATCCGACCAGCACCACCTCCTGCCTCTGAAATAGGGCTGTTAAAGAAATCATTTTGAGACAAGTATTGATATATTTTGTAATTAGATACAATAAAGATTTTTTTTTCTCCAATATTTTTCAGATTATTTCCGTTTTTATCATCCAGAATGTAATTTTGAGCTTTTAATCATGTTACAATTGTCAAAAACAGACCTACAGTTGTTTTTAGATCCATCCATGCTAAATCAGGAACTATTGTTCAGTTTTCAACATCCCATAAAAAACACACACCTAGCACCAAAAGGCCGCTTGAATTTAAACCTTTTTAAGTTTAATTGTGATTCAGTCTGCTTCGGTGCCCAGACGTGGAGTGGATTGTTAATGGCAAGCACATCTTTTCCTTGGAAACCAGACGCCCGGATGAAATTTAGTGAGAATGGAGGCACCAGCCAGCACAAAACCTGCCAGCAGTCTGAAATATTTATGTGGATCCACGGACCTTTTTGCTATTTGAATTTAATTTATTTTTGCAGAATTACTCTTGTGGTGAAAGCCCTGTGCTTTCTGCCAGTCCCAAAAATAAAATAGAGAAATGTCAAGGAGAGATCTGGCAATGTATG